CCACCTCCTCCATCACCACCCTGCCCCGCCCCCTCCCGTGATGCTCAACTCTCCCACGGCAGTAGGAATGGACGACGGCGTGTTTCTGATGTGGAAATAAAAGAGGCGCAAAAAAGGAGCAGCCGATGCGGGAACGAAGATGCGATAGTGCACAATAACGGTGATGAAACCCGCAGATATTTTTGCACATGTTACGCGCCGTTCGGTCGGCTTGTTGSCGCTGCCCCTCCTTCCTCTCTTTCTCTCTCTGTTCACGTTGTTTAACATATTATCCGTTCTTCCTCCTCTCTAAAATAATCACATCCCAGGCGGTGTGAGCTATGATCGGCAGAGGGACGCGGGGAGAGGAATCCGGATCCAAATAATCCATCTTCAGCGGGGGAGAGGCAGAAGAAGATGAGGACGGMGATGGCTCCGCTGAAAACAACAATATTAGTGTTTGTGCACTGGGGTGAGTTTAATACCCATCTGCCACATAAACGTSACGGTTTCCTCACTATTCATTTAAATCTCACACATTATGAAATAATGAATGAATATGAAATAATAAAATGATGTATGAATGTGATTCAGGCTGCTGTCTTTATGAATGATTAACTCACCTGTGAGGCTCTGAGGAGCTTATATGTGTCACACCCCTGAGCAATGAATCATTTTTTATTATCAGCAAGTCTGGAAATGACTGAGAGGAGAGTTCGCTGCACAAGTGTTTGTTTTGTATCCAAAGCAAACAAACAAAATAACTCAGCTGTGCTGGTTAGAGGAACAAGTTTCTGCTTTTTGACAGGTTCCTGTCACTTCCTGTTTATTGTCTAAAGACCATAATCTGAAGGTGTCTTGATTTATTCTGAGTGAGTTCACTAAAAGCTGTTTTAGGCACCCAGGAGTGTAAATCAGACACTTATTTGTACTTTTAAATATAAAAACCAACCAAAAGGTGAATTAAAGTGGCAATGTCATGTAAAATCAACTTTTTTGAGTTTTATATCATGTTATAATGTTATACTCTCATAAAAACATGCTCAAAGCCTTGCTTTGACACATTCATGCATGTTTGAGAAATCCTGCGGCGTTTGTAGGAAGCCATGCTGAGGAGCAAAACGACAGGTGGGGACCAGAAACKCCCCTGGGACGTGTCTTTAAGCCGAACTTCYTCATGGCAGAGCGCCCCCACATACCCCGCCCATGACTCCTGCAGGGTGAAACTGAAAGTGAAACTGAAACTGTCTGCTGAGCTCCTAACACTACGTGTCACTCAGTGAAGCTCTTTTCAGATTCAAAATACCTTTGAGGAAATGTATTTTCAGATGCCAAGTAAACTGCATCATAGCCATCATAGCAGTCCCGCCCCCTCCCCCTTGCC